AATCAGGGAAAGCCCTGCTGAAACCCCTGATATTAGTTTACTTTTACTTATTTCAGTTTACTAAGAGATGGGCAAGAGAAAAGAGCTATCCAACGACATTATCTACCATGGTATGTCCATAAATTCTTTGTTGATGATGAAACAACTGTCCCAAGAACTATAAACATGGGTAATGGTAAATAAGGGTTGTTTGAATAACTCGAAGTGAAAACCTTTTAACATTCCACTTATTATATGAATACCATGAGCTCTAAATAAGAAGAGAATCTTATAGAGGAAATGGACTGTTTGTAAGAGCTTGTAATACATTATGCTCAAGAGTAATATCTCAACAGAAAATTGAAAAAGCAGTTTGGAAGTTATTTTACAATCAGTTTGTGACTTTACATGGAACAGATTCTTGCAAAATGAAAAGGTATCTCAATTAACATTAAGTGTTACATGTAAAGCAACCTTAACATGTAACACTTACAGTGTCATTTTACTAATTAAATACATGTACTTAACACTGATTTTATTTTCTCTGTAGATTCAAATCGCTCCATTTTTGTGCTTGTTTGTTGGATACAGAAAGACCATCATTAAAGCATGTGTAGGCCTGGCTGAGGTAATTTACATTATTGCATTGTCATTAACATATAAAATGTGATTTCAGAATAGCACTTTTTAAAGACCACTTATAGCATGGTTTTGCGCTGTTAACTAATTATCGACAATAGACGTACTGGCCTATGGTTAAGGCAGTTGGATGAATTTACGGTCAGGGAGGGGGGGGGGTTCGCTTGCTATATACATGTACTTGCAGATATAGTTCATAATGTCTAAAACAAATATTTTGATATTATATTTCAAAGCTATGTAACCTGATACTTCAAAATAACCCTGATTCCAAAGAAGTGGCAGAAAAAGCTAAGAACTACATCACCATGGTGAAAGACTTCGGTTTGGATCAACTGGTCACACCAAAATTACATTCATTATCACATTTTGAAAGTAAAGATAGACATGTAATTCCATAATGAAATGACCATTAGTGAATGGAATCGATTGGAGAGTAATGTTTCCAAGCATTAAGTCCTGTATGTACACTCGTAACTGTCAGGCGTTATGCTTGAAGTGGGCAGGTCATTATTTCACGGTCTTCATCTTCTGATATTTTGAGCGAGACTGAGAGATTCATGTGAGAATCATTTTCTTTATAGATTATGCTAATAAGAATTCAAACCATTAAGCAGCTTTAACACATAATCGAATGGGTACAACAACATTTGCGAAAGCTGCATTGAACCTGATCATACCTGCTGTGTGGGTTCTTCCATCACCACCACAGATATCAATCACACTAATTTCATACCACTGAATAATAATGAAGATGATTTTGAAGAGCCATACATGTCATTAGAACAACTTGCACCAGGAGTGCCTCCTTGACTGGTATGCACTTAGAGTTTGCTTTTTCTTGTTAAGTTCCATTACAACTTTTGGTCCTTTCCCTTTGGCACAAGTGCTTATATATTCATACCTTGTGGAGAACGACAATCACACCCAGTCGTCTCTATGGCATGTCGTTTCTGATCCTGTAGAGTATTACCTACAAACCAAAGACTATCTTCATCAACTGTGTTGCTTTATCCATGCCGTACAACACATCAGCAGCCTTGGAATCCTCCACAACAATGCTCTACATGTGGCAATTGTCTGCCGATGGATGACAGGAGGGAGAATGTTTGTTGAAGATCTTTTCCACAGATAAGGGCCCTTAATGAACAATTCTTCCAGCTGAAGGAAGCACCACAGATTCTTAGATGCATCACTATTAATCCTGGCTTCCTTGGTTTATGCACTAACAGACTAAATCTAGACGCAGCTATAAAAGGCAATATCCTAATAGATTCAATGGACCAAGTGATCGACATAGATGCCCTGTGGCATACAGACAGCTTGTGCAAGCTGCTTGGGGTGTCTTGGTCCCCAAGTGAGAATGGTCCTACCTTCATGTGCTGGACTCTGCATCAGAGCTCACTATCCTCCTCCAGGACAACATGAAGAACTGCATCAATTTGTAGGGTTTAAAGAGGCAGATGAGTGGTGCCAAAAATGTACTCATACTAAAGATGTTGTGTACTTTATACATACAAAAAATAAGTTTAAATGAGAATGATACAAGTTATATCCACATTATGTTAGAAACAATATTATAAAGCATTTTATTATATTTCAAGTTAGCAACTGCTGTTTTTGAAACAACAAAAAAAAGATCAATAAATATAAACCAAAAGGTTTCCGCTCCATGTTGCATTGTCATCATGGATAAAGAACAAACATCAGAAGAGAGAGAGAATAATTAAAGGGAAATCAAATGATGTTTTGTAAATCCAACTAAATCTTACTCAACATTAGGATTGCTCCCCCCTGCCCCCTACCAATATGAACTAAATCCTATAGAACTCATATGGGCATTGAAAATTATGAATCAAGACAACAAAAGTAACCAAATATAGTTAATGCAAGGCAACTGAAAGCACAACAGGAGGCCAGCAGTCAAAGGTGAACCATGAAAGATAAGGTGCAGCCATAAGCAGTCAGCAAGGAGCCTACGCTAGCTTCTCACTAGAAGAATAAAATCTCAAGAACTAATTGATGAATCCATAAATGAGTGGAGAATGCTGCTCAAGCACATTAGAGACATTTGAGGACCCCTGACCCAATGGTACGAGGAGGAATTTAGTGCATTCTGTTTTTTTTTGTTCTTATTTTCCAGTGGGAAGCTGGCCTTGCCTAAAATCTTGAGATCCATCACAATGACCCAGATGATTCATATGTGAGGGCTCGTGCTAAAGCCAATGAAGCAGCAAAATGAATTGTACAACTCATAGTGTATCAAATATAAAGGTTTATTCTCACCGCGGTGAGGATGGTTCCTTTTTTCATTTCTATGACTTTTTTGGAGACTTCCTTGCTTCCAGGACTTCCAGTAGCAAAGATCTTGAAAAAAACCAGATTGGTGCATTGGTAATAAGTTGCTATCCCATCGAACGAAGTTCGGAGGGATATAGGGAATGCCTCGGTCCATCAGTTCATTCGTACGTTTGTCCGTCCGTCTGGGCAATAACTCAAATACCGTTGGCCCGATTTTGTTCATATTTGTACAAATATACCCAATGGAGGTAAAAGTTCTGCTCAAAAGCCAATTTTCAAAATGGCGGCTCATTTAATAAAAATGGTGGCCATTTTAGTGCCGATTTTACAGTAATTTAGGTCCAATATGTAATATGTTTTTGCTAAAGGTGGTTTACTCTGACTAATAAAGTCAACATGGCGATTGGTATGATGAGCTCCAAGAGAAGACATGACTCGCCCTCAGGAGAGGGAGATAGAACTAAAAAAAATGTTCAAGCTAAGTGTGAGGACTGTAGGACACTCTTATCAACCTTATTACAAAATGCATAGGCAGCTGACCCAGCGATCAAAGTGGCAATCCTGGGTCATTCTTTTGTTAAACATTTGAACAGTGCCCCACCAGCCCTTCCAGGCTTTGATTTTGAACTACATGGTTGGCCTGGGGCAACAGTTTCATGTATCAGGCAGAAAGTGGTAAACTCATCAAACAGACTTCACTTGGACGCCAGCCTCGTCATCCTCCAAATTGGGGAAAATGACATCCCCACCCCTTCCATTGATCCCTCATCCCCTCCCCATCATTCCCCGGTCAATTGACAGAAAACATCATAAGCTTGGCGGCAGACATTATTGCTTACAATACATCAGTCAACACAGTGGTCATTGGATCACTGTTTTTCCTAGGGGCTGGGCTAAGACCCACAAAGACCTTCACACTTTAGAACAGTCGATTCACTTTAATTCCAAAGTACTTTCCACAAATTTCTTCCTTATGACCCACATCCACCACCTCATTTCCCCAGCCTCAAATTCCACTTCCGTCAAGGGGTTTTCGATGAGCATTTACAGTTCCATGATGTGTTGGGGGACCCAGTATATCTTAATACCGACGGGGAGGCCCTCCTCAGAGCCTCATGGGAGAATTTGGCTTGTAGCCATAAGCTAAAACAGTAAGTATTCAGAGCGGCACCTCTGTCAACTTTGCCAGGGAGTCTTAGTTAAGTTTAGTTAATAGTCATTTATTATGGTTTGTTTTGCCCCCCCCCCCCCATCTTCTAAATTCTTCACACATTTTCGAGTTAAATGTTGTTTTATTAATTTTGTTTTGAATTTATGCACAGGCTTTCCTTAGGACATTCCTTCCATATTTATTGTAGCACATTTCTTTCATATTAATTTTGGCACATTTCTTCCATATTTATTGCAACTTA